ACTGGAGCTGGCTGCTTTGACACATGGCCATGGCAGATAGATTGACACCTAGCTAGCTTTCCAATATGGTTAGCGTGACAGATAGATACTAGGTTGACCGATAGATACCTTTAAGACGCACGGATGTGCGCGACGAATCAATGAACAATGCTGAAATCACGAGAGCTGGGGGCTAGCAAGATGCAGAAAACGTTGGCTGTGTGCGTGAACTGGGCTTCCGGACTGTGCGCAAACCACCGCGGTACAAGCGCAGCGCTTTCGTAAGGCCAGGCGATGACTTTCACCAAATCAGGCACAGAAGTCTTGGCAAAGGTTACTCCCACCTCCGTCGCGACGCCTGTCACAGGTCCGGCGCGGGTGCTGCGCGGCCTCGGAGCACGACCACTGTAGTGGCAGCGGCGTGGCGCAGGCTTCGTGGCAGCGCAGCAGTTTCGCGCTGCGTGGTGCAGAGTTCACGGCAGGCGCAACACTTTGGCAAGGCCAGGCGCAGATCTCGTGGCAGGCGGATTTCATGGCAGGCGCGCCACGTTGGCAAGATCAGGTACACATTTCGTGGCAGAGGTAGAGAAAGAAAGAGGGAGAGAGAGAGAGAGAGAGAGAGAGAGAGAGAGAGGAGAAAGAGAAAGCGGCAAACAGATAAGAAAGAAAAGAAAGGGAAAGAGGAAGAACAGAGAAAATAAAGTGAAAAAGAAAGGAGAAAAGAAAGAGAAAGCCAAACAGAAAGACGAGAGAAAGAAAGAGAAAGAGAAAGAACAGAGAAAGCGAAAAAGAGATAAAAGAGAAAACAATGAGAAAGAGAAAGATAAAGCGAAATAGACAGAGAAAGAGAAAGAGAAAGGAAAGATATGACAATTAGAAAGAGAAAGGGGAGGAAAGGAGAAGAGAAAGAGAAAGAGAAAGACAAGAGAAAAGAGAGAGAAAGAACAAAAGACAGAAAGAGAAAAGCAAGAGAAAGAAATCAAGTCAAAGAGAAAGAGAAAGAGAAACAAAAGAGATATGACAATTAGAAAGAGAAAGGGAAGGAAAGGAGAAAAGAAAGAGAAAGAGAAAGACAAGAGAAAATAAAGAAAGAGAAATAGAAGGAAAAGGGGAAGAAGAGAGAAAAGATAAGAAAACAGAAAGACAAAGAAAGAGAATGAAAAGCCAGAAGACAGAGAAAACAGAGAACTATAGTTTGTATATTTCTAGAAGTCTGACACTTCAACCTCAGTAAAACCCACAATAAATCAAGGTCATCATATGTCGTAGAAATCCTATTGCCACTGCAATCTACAATAAGACATGTTTTGCGAATGTGTCGCGCTCTTAGTTTGTAAGTCTATTTTGTAAATCCTCTATATGCTCTAATGCGATAGTGCCCGAAAGGCACAGAACCTATACTGTTTGTATAATATCTGTTTCTTTCGTACGCTGGTAGTGCCTGGTTTGATTGCTGTGCGCCGCATATCTGGTGTGCATAACTTCTTATGCTGTTGAAGCTTACTCTGTCACAGATATTGTTCCCAATGTATCATCGCACACATTATTTGATAAGCCTTCTTTTCTTGGTTTCAACGCTATGAAGTTGGTTAGTCTCTTGCCATCTGCTTTTTCCTTGAGTTTCCTTCGGTTTCTTGTTTGTCTCATCATAATATGTTTTTGTGTGTCATAACCCATGCAATCTCTGATGCCAGTGAAATCATTATGTACATCTTCGGTTTTGACACGTAATGCAAAACTGTCAGGGTCGGCGTATCACATCCTTATCTCATTTCCACGTTTGGGTTTCATAATGTCGTAGCCGAAAGACTGTATATGTTGTTTTGATCAATCCAACACGCTCATTCCTACATATTTTGGCTTCTTAAGTTTCACTACGCTTTTTACCTTGGCAACTCCTGTAAGATTTTCATTGGTGGCATGTTTGTGCTTAAAGTTCGGATTATTTGGTAGTCCCTCTTACAGTCATACTTTCTCGCGCTAATGGATAACGATGGTGTTTGTCGTGGCATTGCCGTGGATATGCTAAACCAACATCTAAGATACAACCCTTGTTGCTACACACTGCGAGGAATTTCTTCTTTAAAACCATATTTTACATATCTTACCTTCTTATAGGGTAGTTTCCTACCCACTGCCAGTCCGTAAAGATTGCTAGCGCTTACATAACTGATGTAAGATGACCGTTTCATTTCCTCATAACCGTAGCCCATATACTTTTTGTTTGCCACTGCGTTTCTCATGGACGCTTGACCCATTTCATTTCTCAACCCCTTCTCAACAATATTATTATATTCTTCACTGTGTAAAAGTTCAAGTTTAGCCCGCGTTTTCAAACAGCGTCGCGTCCCAAGCAAAGTTAGGTAATGCGCAGTAATGAGCGGGATCTAATCCATAGATTCTTAAACATTGTTTTCTAAAATTGTCCCACACATCGGTGAATATTACTACGTCGGAGGTTTTTAAAGTGTTTTGAAATGAGTGCGCTCTTTCATAGTCAGCGTCACTTTTGTTTGCTTCACCTAGCCTATGTAAACAGGTTTCCTGTCTTGTAGTTCAGTTGCAAAAGCTTGTTGATGTGGATAAACCCCCTGTTCAGTCAGTAACTTGAAGCCTTTTTCGTCCTCAGTTTGCATGTGAATCTGTATGTGAATTGATTTTCCCAATCCGGTTTTGCTACCGTCTTCGTAGTTAGTTAATTTAACCAACTTTTGGAATAACCATGATAAGAATCTGAAACTGTCCTTGAATTGTCCTGTGCTATAATTGATACTTTTTGGATTGTCCTGTGCTATACTGTAATTGATACTTGTTCTTGGTTTTTATTTAACTTTTCCGGATTAGGAAATTATCAAGAGTGCTGAAAGAAAACTTGTGCCTTTTTTAAAGCAACAGTGAATGTTACATGTCTCACACATTCCTGTAAAGTGGCCGTGGTCAGCAGCCTTATTTTTTGCTTCTACATTGTTGTTGAAAGCGCCGTTACATAAGAAACACGTTTTCGCTCCCAAATGTTTGGCTTCATCTAATGAAATCTGTCATGCCCAGATCTATGGGGTTTTGCATTTGTTCCTTTACGTCGCCTTATTTCATCCCATGTTTCGCAAAGCTTACCCACACAATCTTCGTCCCTGTGAAAACAAGGTGTAATTTCCCACTACACTTTTAGCGTTAGCAATTAGCAAGGGTAGGCGTACAACCGCTCGGTTTATGTTTTTGATACATTCCTTTGATGCCCTCCGATGTTTCTGTTGTTAAACATTCAAAACCGCCACACATAAAGAATGGTGCTTTCATTATCTTTTTTGTCAAATTTCACTGAGGAGCCTTCTTCTGGCAATTCTGTGAGTTCAAATTTAGTTACCGCACAGCGGTTGGTTCAGTGAGAGCGCAGGAGTTTTTCTGACTCATGACCGTAATTCCACTGGAACGACTTTTCTTTGTGGTTGTTGGTTTGTCTACCCGTTACTCGGTTGTAGTCTTCTACCAAGACATATTGTTCATTATTACCTTTTCAATGCTTAGAAGGTTGATATGACAAGATGGTCTGTCAATTTTCGTTCTTTTGTGTGCTCTGACGGCTTGGTTTTCATCTCCAACATAAACATTAACTGGTATAGAACTATTTTTAAGTGGTTCAAATGTGTCAATGTCATCATTAGATCCTGGAAAATTGTGAGAATATAGTCAATAATTCCTGTAGTGTCTCATATGTTGTAGATGGTCTTTCTTGAAGACTTCGTAAAATTTACATAACACACAGTATCAGAAACATAAACCATCTTCGTGCTGAATGTTAACACACGCCTTTGTAACTGAACTCCATTCTGGTAGTTGCATATACTTTCCTGCCCTGTTCGGAGTGTATGTTTCATAGTGGATGTTTTTAACGAATTTTGTTGATTATAAGACCTGACCTTGTGAGCTCAGTGTTTTCAATTGTAATTCAAGGTCTTTCGGCATGTTGCCACGTGCTTTTTTCAATTCAGCATTGTTTAGAACAGCGTATCTCCTGCTTCTCATTGAACACTTCATTGGGGCTTCTTATTCGTGGTCAAAATGGACATCAACAGCATGAATAACGTTTATTTGTTTTTCAAATTTATTCTGTTCACCTCTTCTCGTGCCATTTCAAGTTCAAGCACGTAAACTCCTGGTGTCCCTTCGACGGTATATTGGTTACGCTGTATGTGTTGGCATATCTTTTCAATGCTGAAAGTGTCCATGATGTTTTTGCTTCTCTAACCCTGTGTTTCTTGATGGTTTTCATCCCTCTCATCGTTTGATGCCTTTTTTTCACTTTAGTCGTTTAGTCTATTTTCAGTTTGTATTGCTCTGCGGGGCTGGTGGTTGCAAATGCACCTGCTGATGTGACAAACTGCATGTCACAAACTGCACCCCCTATGTGACAAACAACGCCCCTTGATGTGACAACCCCTGATGGAACGAATTGCGCCGTCTGATGTGACAAACTGTGACAAGCTGCGTCCCCTAGAGATATTCAATTGTCTGAATGTTGAAATGGACAAAACGATTAGCTTGTTGAAAAGTTGTAATTGGAAATTTAACCCTGAACCCTACCCCAGGCGCCCCGCTTTACCTATGGCCCCCCACAAAATGGCTTTGGGCAGCCAGCGCTCCTACAAAATGATGAGCGTGCCCTTGTTGGATCCCAATTTGCACACGGCCTCCTCAAGAAGCTTACAGATCCGGCTGCCACTTATGGAATTGTTTTGGTTGTATGGGTTTGTTTTGTAGCATTGTTCGGCCCAGTTTTGGAACACTGGTAGGATTGAGACTCAGCCGGCCCTCTACAAAAGTACGGTTGGATTTCAAGGTGGACACGAGAATTTGTTCTGTCATCGCCGTCATTTTGTAGACGTTTTTCGCAAATCGTCGTTTTTTAGACTCTATAGCGAGCCATCCCCTAAATTCCCAGAGGACGTTTGCAAGGGAAGCGAAAGAGGAACCAGCCAGAGCGCTCTCTTTGCCGCTTCCCCCCCAACTCGCACGAATCCCAGGCCACCATCACTGTGCACGGCCATGACGTGCGCGTTGCCTCCGAGGAAGAGCCACCCCTGAGGCTCCAGGCGTCGAACGTATTTCGCAGTCTCGAATCCAGGTCACCCAGGGGTGGTAGGGGTATTTGCTTTTTTGCCGCTTGCAGTTCGAGTTTCAATCTCCAACGTCTTGCAAAAGTCCCCTTAGGAACATTGAGCCGGCGAAGCCGGTGGTCGGAAGTTTCTGAAACATAGCAACTATATAGTTTTGTTATTCTTTGGTCCCTTCTTTCTTTCCGTTGTTTAAGTTTCTCGCGCGTTTTTGTTTTTCTGTTTGCTATCTTTCTTTCTTTTTTTGCTTTTTCTCAACACCTGCAAGCTTTGGGGCCTCAGCCCAGATAGGCTCCGGGGTTGTCCGGGGCGGCCCTGAGGTAAGGTTCCACTGGGGTTCACCAGGGTTTTGTGCGAGCGCCACAACAGAGCCCCACGATATCACCTGTGCCCCGTCATCCAGGAGCCAACTCTGTAGAGCGCCCAGAGGGGCTACTCCTACAATGCTCTGGTCCAGATTGTTCGGGGTCGCCCCTCACAACGCCAGTTGAAACGAAACCGGGCATCTTTGCCTGTTGCGGCTGGCAATTTCTCAGCGCTCCGCACCTAGCGCACGCATGTACTGCACACATCGTGCGAAGCTGAGCCAAGTTCACAGGCCTCCGCACAAAACTGGAAGAACAGATAAGTACAAAACTTTGGGAGTTACGAGCATTGTCCCTATTGAAACAACACAGGAGTTATCACGCGCACATTGGCGGAGACATGCAAGTACTACTTGAGCATGTGATTGCCCAATGTCGCAAGACAAGAGTAGGAAGACGTCGTGTGCTTCTTGTCCAGCGCCTTCTTCTTCTTTGTTGTCGCGATCTGTGCAACAGCTGCAGAGAACCGAGCTTGCCGGTGTCCTCGGCATTCTTTGACTTGCTGCAGCATGTCCGGGATAGTATTGCCACGGGGCATGGAGGTTAGTGGCGCGCTCACAGTCTCAAAGTATTGTTTTGCCTTCTTCTCAGCTTCGCCAACCGCCTGAGCGCTCCTGAGGCTAGCGTGTCCTCAGCGCTCCTGAGGCTAGCTCCGCTCTTCTTCAAGGTCTTGCTGCCTTTGGGGCTAAGTGTTGATGCCTGCCAACTTGTCTGCCACAGCAGAGCCAGATGTCCGGACTCGGCGCAACCCAAGTTGCAATCGCTTCTGTGGCATTGCGAGGAGCATGCTCGCCACTGGCCGCCCAAGTGTCAATGAGGCGCCGATTGACTTCCCTGGGTGGAGTCAGCCGACTGGTCCAACATGCCCTTGCCGGCACTTCCGACTTGCAGAATCACACTGGCCCCACCTTGCGGGTTGCGCGTGTGGCCGCTGCCCGTTACTCCTTCAATCCGTGACGCCCTAGGAAAAAGCAGTCCAACGTGTAGCGCCTGCCTTTGCAGAGTTCAAATCCTCTGCAGGTACTCAAGGATAGCAATCGCTTGGAAAAGTTCCTTGCGATCTGGACCAGGCGTGTTTTGCACGTCGCGCTGCAAGGTTTGCTCATCCCCACCTTTCACTTGAGCTTGTGAGAGAGATCGCAATTCCTCCAAGCGATTCACTCAAAAAGATCGTCAGCTGGAGAAAGGGGCTTGCTCTGCTGCAGCGGGACAAGGGCATGCACCTAGCCGCCTTCGCCTCGACATCCCCTACAATCTGCTTGCCAGCTGTGAACGCTCTTGTTGGTGTACTTTCTGACAACACCATAGAACGGAACATGGCTTGGTCCCAAGAGGCTGCCAGCGCTGCTCGCGAAATAGACAACGGACAGCAAAGCATTTTTTCACGGGTTGGCGCCAATGGCGCAAAAAGCCCTGAGCGGATGCAGCAGCCTGGACTCAACTTTTGATGTTTCTTTTCTGCACAAAACACAATTCCGGCTTCGCATAGCACAATGTTTAAAGGTTCCTGCGTGGCCAATTTGGACAACCGCGGAGCGCGTCGCAAATCCAAAAAGCCCAAGCATCAATGTGCTTGCTAGGTCGGAAATGGGCAGGTCTAGCGCAAGCAAGGCCGGAAAACCATTTTCCTGGAAGCTGCAAATCAAGAAGGGCAGGATCTTGTTTCAATTTTGAGAAAGGTTTGCGCGAAACACGTTCAACAAGTGGCGCTGCCAATGCCAAAGCATGCCCGCAAAGTAACTTGTTGTAGCCAAAGCAACCCCCGAGTTGCTTGACTTACGCCATCAGTTTCACAAGAAGCCCGGCGTGAAACAAAAGTTTCACCCAGCAAAAAACCGGACATCGCCCCAAGGCAAAAAAATGTGTAGGGCGCCCCCTTTCTTTATGTGTTCTATCGATTTACACACCGACCTCTCAATCTGTCTTGCAATCTGTTTATTCATCTGTCTGTGAACTCATATTTATCTTTGTTTGTGTTTCTACCTGTCTATCCGTCTATCTATCTATCTGTTCACTTATCTCTCTAGCTCTCTATCTTGCTATGTCTATCTCTCTGTCCATCTATCCATCTATCCGCTTGTTTATTCTATCTATCCATGCACCTTGCGAAGTGTTGCGCCTGCAACGCTTGCGATGAATTCTGTGCCTGACCTTGTGAAAGTGCTGCGCGTACGAAATCCGCGAAAATGCTGCGCCTGCCATCAAACCTGCGCTTGACTTCTCAGCTCGCCTAGGTGCTGCGCCTGTTACGCAAAGCTGACATTCTGAAAAACGCACATGTCCATGCCAGTGGATCCAAGCGCGCGTGCCTGTTTCCTCGCACGCGTTCACTCATTCTTCGTCGCAGCCTGTCAACTAGTGTCCGCAACGCTCTGATCTCAAGGGTGAACTTCCTGCATTCTCATGTGGCTCCAGCAACATGGGGCTGTGTAGTGTCGCTTTGGGGTTTCGTGCTGATTGTCCGGCTTGGGTTTAATTTGGCCCTGTCTTTCAGTTGGCTTGAAAAAGCCATGAGCGGATCCCGATGTGTCAGGTCTGGTGCAGCGCTGAGGCAGGGCGGAGGATGGACTTGTGGCAGCCGCTTCAAAAGTCGAGGATGCTTTGAAGACAACGCCGGGGGCCCCTGTTACTTGCGCCGCACATGAACGAACCGCTCATTGCGCGCTGAAACTATGCGAGACCCACGTGTAGTTTCGGAACAAGCTCGAAGAACCCCTTGTGCGCACCTCCCTCGTTTTGTGTTCTTCGAAGGGCAGCCAACGAAGGACGACGATTTCTTGCGCAACTTGTTGGACATAGCGATATGTAGCTTGGCAGCGCTGTGTGCAAGGTCCTTGTCCATTGTTCGGCACATCGTGCTGGGGTCTGTAGGCAAGCTGACCTGGATTCCTTGAGCACGGCTAGAGACTTGCGTCGTGATGATCTCTTTTAAGTTTGCCAAGGCAAGATCACCTCACTTATTTTAGACCACCGTGTACATCTGGCATATTCCCGTTAGGTTGCAGTTCCCCTCATCTTTCTGTCGCAACTCGTCCAAACAGTGGATCCCAGCAGGTATCTAGGAAGCTGGCTGCAGTAATTTGCAGGCCTTCCGTTGCGCGCGACAGCTGCGCGACGCCTCGATCCTTTGGACCAAGCACGAGGCGCGGTGCAGAGGTTGAGTTTGGCTGAACACACGCTCTGTGCCGCAGGGGCTGAAGGGCGACCTCCGGCACTCACTTTCCAAGAGCACCATGCGTTGCTCCCAGGGTTCGCTGTGCTGTGAGGACTGAGGTTGTGGAGCGGCTTTTCCTTGGTGTTTACGTTGAGGCTCTTTATGCGGTTCTTCCCCGCAGTAGCACATGGCTGGGTTGCAACAGTTTTGCACCGGCCACAGAACCTCGAAAGTGAACGTAGCGAGAGTCTTTTTCATTGACCCCTTGAGGATATCGGCGCTTCCGGATTTGCTGAATTGCTTGCCGCGAGTACAGTCGTGTTGGTTTGGGCCTAACGAAAGCATGCAGGGCGAAGCTTTGCGGACAAGCGCAAGGGGCTCTCTTGTTTATTGCCTTGCTATCAGACATGGCCTACTTACTTGGCGAACATTGGTTCGGGCCCGCGCTCCAGGAGTGCCTGGAGAACCTCCCTGCACCCCATTTTTGCCGATCCAATTCACGGGGGCAACCAAGTGAAACTTGTGCCAATGTAGATGCTGAAGCTGTTTCGTTTTGTCCGCGGCAAGGCCTGCAGGCCGCGTAGGTTGTATGTGGAAAACGGCCTCTGACCTCGAAAATTGTTTGAAGGGTTTTGTAGGATGCGCGGGGTGATTGTGAGGAGGTTTTCAAAGGTTTCAAGGGTTCCACGAGACGTGGTAGTGCCAGTTCCGGAGTGAACCGCTGGCTTTCCTGTCTGCGTGACACACAGTTCATTCACCAGAACTGCACGCCTAGCACGCGCAGCAGGTAATCTAGAAATCGCATTCAGCCCTCATTCTGGGAAACCCGCTTTTTGTCAAGGCTTTGAGTGGTGTGCTGCGCAACAGTCGGCGCCTGGGGAAAGGTACGCTGTAGTTAGCCAAAGGTTCTGTTGTGGGCTTTGTCTGCAGGCGCGGAACGGTCATCCAAAAGCAAAAGCACCCAGAGACTAAGAGGCGTGATTGGAGCGCGGGCTTCACATGAGCCGACACCCAGACCAGAAAAAAACAGCATTCTGGGGGGACAAGCAGTTTCTTTGGGAGCTGGCTTTGTCCAGCGCTGCACTCGAGAATTTGCAGTGGTTGTGTCCAGTCATTGTTTTCTTCAAGTGGTTCGCTCGGGAGGCGGGTCAAGTTCAAGCGTTGGCATTCTACGTGTTTCAAAAGCTACGCATGTCAGGTGTAGCACTTGAAGGGCAAAAGTTTCTACACTACGTCAGCGCATTGGCGGCGCGCCTGCGGATTATAGAAGGCGTATGGTCGCGCAGGGCGAGCAGCCAGCAAACTGCAGAAGGGGCGCTGTTGCGCCGCCCTCCAAGAATTCAGCTTGATCTACGTGGGAGCCGGTTCGCTCAGTGGCCCGGCCTGCAAATGGTCCTCCTTTTACCAGCCCCCTCAAAAGCCCGGCGCAGTTGGTTCCGCAGCTTGTTGCATGCTGCCAGGCGGCAGTACGCGCGCCATCCGCACCATCCGCGCCATCCAAAACATCCGCACCATCCGAAACAGCCGCACCAGCCGCACCATCCACACCACCCGCTCCAGCCTCACTCTCACCGATTGCTCTTTTGTGACGGACTTGCGTGACAGCCACTGGCGCTGACCCCTCGCTCTTTGGCTGGCAAGGCTGCGCTACTCCGCACAGTGATCTGCCGCTGGCTCGTCAGACTTAGACTTGGGTCTGATATAAAAACGGCCCCAAACTTGTCAAACGTCTGTCATCCTACTGACACTTCGTGCGCAGCCATGGCCTTGGTCTTCATTCAAATGTTGCCTTGGCATTGGCAGAGACGGCTCAGCCACAATGACGGTAGAATCGACCTGGCAGTTCCAAATTTCTCGTCGGCTGCAGCTGCAACGCTGCAAGAGGCGCAGTGGGTTAACACGGCCGACATCCCAAAAAATCGATAGGCCTGCCAGGAGCGCTTCACGCGCGGGGATCTGAGCTTCGATCGCCGCCGGGCCGGTCAAGTCGGTCAATTGCAGTTCGGCCATGACCGTCCACAGGGCAGGTGGCTGAGCTACCAGGCCACCCATAGTTTAAAGTACGGAAAACCCAGGATGCATCAGTCATGCCACCTACGTTTCAGAACAACATGCGAGCCACGAGAAGCACAACGCGTGTATTTGCATTGAAGCTGCTGCAAAGGCGCTACCAACCACCCGTCAGCAAAGATCGAACAGTACTTCCAGATTGCTTTAGGCCACTACACAATTGGAGAGGATTCGTTTCACACTAGTTGGATGACTCAGGGCTAACTGAACTACCTGTTTGACTGTCCGCATTTTGCGCGAGTTGAGCCACTACGTGTTACAATGTTGACGGTGGGACAGCCAGCAGTGATACGCACTGAGCGCTGGTTTATCACTGCGTGACATGGTTGGCAGGCCTCATTTTTCCGACCAGTCAAGGAGCCTGCGCATGTCGACAGTGCCAGCTATTGGCGCTCAACTGTTATTTGTCACTGCAAGCCTGACGGCAACATCGATTTGCCATGCCAAATACTGAAACGCGCCGGCAGAATTATCCAATCTTCGGCTCTCCGTCTCTTGTTCGCCTGACGCTGCTGAGGCTTCACGTTCTCGTGCGCCACGGAATCTTCAGCATGTGCATGTACCGCGCCTGCCCAGCAAGAGCATGCGTCAAATAACTAGGTCAAACGCGTTTGCGAAATAAAAGGGCTTTTTGCGAACAAGGCTCGCAAGCATCGCCGAACCCAGTGCAGCCCGGCAACAGCCACTCCGGCGGGAGCTTGCCGCCGGCCGTCGAATGAGAACTGCCACCACAGTCTTGAGCCAAGTGCGCCACTGCGCCAGTGACATGACACTGAAGCAACCGCGAAGCTGCTACCAATCACCCCTCAGTGAAGATCGAACAATTGTCTCGAAACTTGGTTTCGACAGTATCCTGGAGAACCATTTGGCTATATTTCCTGGGGCTGCTGGTCGTTTTGGCACATGCCTTTAAAGGCTGTGGCCGTGAAAGTGGCCCGACCACCAAGGCCATCAATGCGGCCACACAGACGCACCACAGATCTCTCCAGCGTCGGAAAATAGCGGGCCTAGCAATGAGAGCGAGCAGCATCGTCAAAATTTGAGCTGAGCGATTCTGTGCGCAGTCGTAGACAGAAAGGGACGCGCTCTCCGTCGTCTCAAAGATTGCCGGATTTCTGCTCAGTCAGCCATTCTGCCCTGTGCAGAGGTTCGCTGTAGAACCCCAAGGCATTCTTTTCAAGGCGGGGTGAAGGAGCTGCGTTCCGTGTTGAGCTGGGTGCACGTGGCACACACACACACAGAAGTGGGCAGGGCTGATTGGAGGGCAGGGCTTTGTGTTTTTGCAACTCGCCTACAACCCCATCCACTACAACCCTATAGGACCTTTTCCAAGTAACCTCTTTCATTATAACGGGAATGAAGCGAACACTGAGTGGGGGGCTAGTTTGATGGGCGACGCTTCTTGAGTTGGCTAGTTGACCAGGAGTACGCGCTAGACTCCGACTCCCTGTTCTCGCCTTCAGCTTCAGACTCAGAAGAGGCAAAAGCGGCTTGCTTTCGTGCATGTTGTTTGCACAAGGGTGTGCGAGCTTCATGTGAATGGTGAATGGCCGACGCAAAGGGTTTGCAGACCCAAGGAAACCAAACTTGGCACCAGTAGCAATCTGCCACCTGTGTTTTCGAGCAAAGCAATTTTGGTCTCACGGGCGCACGTCAAGTGAACCCTTGAAGGGCATGACTTTTTTGCTGGCAACCGATGCCAGGTGGATGAAGATGAAAGGTGGTTTGAGAACGAGAACCGGTATGACTCGGAGGAAGAGGCCGGCCACACACCGCAGTGACACACTTTAGCAAGTTCAAAACCAACGTGCCCCGCCTATTTGATCCCGGTCGTTGCACAGGATAGTGGTGGGACGAGCCGGGATGGGTAGTGATAGACTTCCTGTTCGGATGCGTTTGGCATGGGACACGCGCAAAAATCCGGGCGCGCATGTCGGGTCTTTTGGGTCACAGGCACCTCAGGTTTTCCTACATGAATGAAGATGCACGTGCGCGGGCTCAGAACAGCGGTTGGGAAGGGGCTATTTGCCTCAAGCCCCAACCGATGCCGGACCGATAGACCCTTACATGTCGGCTTTATTGCCCATTTCGTTGAACGCACGTGCGCGCTTTTTGGCGCAACCGTTTGAGGATTTTCAAAAGCCCACCTCAGGTGTATAATGTCGCTAGGTCACATGTTCTGCAGACAACTATGTTTCATTGTCATCCCATCTAGTGCGCGCGCAAGTGCGCGCAGGCACGCATTGAAGAGTTGCGGTGTTCGAGCTGGATCTGCCCAAGCGCACTTCCTGCGCAATTTCCTAGCAGCTGCTCCCAAAGCGTACTTGGAGTACCGCAATGATTTGGTACTGGAGCCAAAGTACATTGCGTACTGCGCTTGAACGTCATTAAAGCACACTTCGTCGGTACGCTTGCGCTGAACAAAACTGCACCCTGCGTACCAAGCCCAGGCTGGACCGTTGCGATTTTTAATCTGAAGCTGGCAAGTGTGCTTTGCGCGCTACACTGCAGCCAACGCAATAACTCCTAACTCTCGACGGCCTTATGGCTGATGCTTTCGGCACAATGATGAGCGCCGAAGATGTCCTCTTCCCGAACGAGAGATTTAGCCGTTACTCACATGAGCTTGCTTGTGTCCTGCTAGTGCCACAGGTTCCAATGGGCTCCCCTGGCCTTTCAGCATTAGTAAACACCCAATCTGCGCGCGTGTGTTTTCTTGGGGGCGTGTTGTTTTCAGTCGCCACGCGGCATCCAGTTCCATGAAATCCGGATTCTCGAGGCCTGGCCTTCGCACACTGCCTCCGCACCAGCATTGCGTCCACCACTGCTGCCAGTGAAGGCGCCTTGCGCGCCGCCAGATGAGATGGTTGCGCTGATCCAGCGGTTAGAGGGCAACAAGGTTGTTGGCAATGATCGGAAACCTTGAGGTGAAATCCTCGCAAGAGGCTTTGATGTTTGCATGGAGGCCAAAGAGGTCTTCGTTCCAACTGCCGCAGCACGCTATCTCAGACTGCCGCAGATTGTTTTGCCCGTCTAACACGAAGACACTTCCTTCCAATGTCGCTCCAAACACATGGCACACGTTGCGTTGCAGTTTTCTTCATTTCATCAGCCCAAACGGTGAAAGCCCTGTCAACGGAGGGCAACAAAATTAGACGTTTGCGCGACTGCAGAGAAGGCTCCACATTCCTGCACGCATTGTTAAACACCTTTCAGTTTTTTTGTCAAGCAAGCGCGTCAGGCGAGCCATTCGTCCTCTGCGCCTTCCCTTTCACAGGCTCCTAGCCTGCCACAAGCGGGTGGGATGACGCATTTTGGCCCACGGATGTAAACCAGTTGCGGAAGGTGCCTCAAGGGACACGTGGCCCGAGCACTGGAGAGCGATGACTGACTGGCAGGATTGTTGTGGCCGATCCAAAAGCTCTGTCGTTTGCTCAACCTCTTTCATCACACTTTAGTGAAAGATGCCAAGATCCCAAGCGGGTGTAAGTTACGCGCAAGACAAGCGCATACCACGTTGGGAAGTTGCTTCCCTCAGCTATGACCCACTTGTTTTGTGGCAAAAATCAAGTACAGGACATCACGGACTTGGCTGATTCACACGTGGTAAGCTTCATGTCACATCCTTTCTCGAGTACATTTTCCCCTCCTCTACTAGCGTTGAATAGCCTTCTTATTGAAACACCTTGCAAGCAGTCTGAGTACACTTTCTTTGGTTGAGCGTTTTCGGAAGGGGGCCTTGTTTGTATCAACCCTGAGAGGTGTTCCCCAGACCTCCACAAGTTTGCGTTCTCTCGGGTCTAGAAGCTACTGCGTTAGTTGATCCACGTGAGAGGAAGGGAAGCGTGGCGAAGCTTGGGACAGCGACTGGGAGACGCTGACGAAGTGGGGATACCCCTGAAACGGCTGCTTCAAGCGCTGTATCTCGGAGGAGAGGGAAACACCACAAAAACACCACGAGGTCCTTGTGGCGGGCAGTGCCGTTTGGACTTGGCAGGAAGCTGAGGCAGTGTTCGCTTGCACGCCCTCATGAATAGGATTTTGGCCACCCACGCGGTCTCGGGGAAAAAGGTCTCTGGGGAGCGCACTGAGATGTCATGGGGCGAAGTGCTGTGAGTCCCCCCTGACACATGCTCGGATCTTTACTCAGTTTATGTTTCTCGGGGCCATTTTGGCCCTGGTTTCGTTCACTTGATTTTCCACCACTCCCTATGGCGTTTGACCTCAAGAGGCCGGCAGAGGAGGTTAAAGAGGGACACACCTGGTAAGACCCCCTACTCCTTGTCCAAAGGTGTACAAGACCTGGGTTGCAAAGCTGGACGAGCACACCCGACTCAGCATAACATGAGGTTCCCTGGCTGCCATCTCGATTGGTGCGGCCGCTGGGCGGAGTCTTGCGGACAAGACCAATGGCTACACCCTGGCTGCCTCGACCCTGGCGGTGATTCGGATGCCCTGCGCAGCCTCAAGAAGCGGAGCCTAAGCGAGTTTGAGATCTCCCCGGTTGTGGACCACCGGGCCATGCTGGGCAGAGGAGATCGCAATGAAACGCGGGCCACATACCAGCTTGAGGTTCAAGACAAGCCGGAAGTGGGAGAGCCAGGCCAAGGTGCAACAAGTTGATTTTGTTCTGTCTCCTTCTGGAAAGGTCAGCACCATCTCTGAGAATAAGGTTCTGGACCCCATGGGTGAGATCCCTACCAACAGTGACCTTGAGAACGAAGGCGAGACGTTGTTGGAGAAGATGACAATGTGTAGCGCATCCATAACACACCTGTAAGAGCCGCCAGAAAGAAAGGCGCGCGTTCTCATTGCACTAGCTGTTCCAGCCTTGGGACTGTCTCTGCCTCTCTTGTTCAATATCATCGCGCTGAACCTGCAGCTGGCTTCAACTTCTCAGTTGCCGCCATGCCGAGAAAGCAATGAAGATTGCTCTTCCCGTGGGGCAAGGTACGAGAACACGAGGGCTCCGACCACATGCTGGGGGTCCTCAAGCGCATCTTGCTTCAAAAGGAATTATCGACAGATTGCAAAGGAAAGGGTCCGCGGAGGGTGCCCAGAAGCAGTGGAAGGGCTCTAGTTGGTTTACATTGTCAGGTGGCACCAAAGGCAAGGGTGGTGATGCTCACATGGCCTCGGGCCCTGGGAAGGGCAAAAGCGCGGACGGGCCAGAGCGGCCGGAGTGGGCGGAGGCCTCCTCGGCTGGTACGCAGTTCTGCAAAAAGTACCATGCCTTCAACAAGTGCCCGAATAACTGTGGGCGGGGCCACAACCCTGACGGGCATTCTCAATCATCTTTACCCGTCATTCCCAGTCTTTGTTAGTATTCTTGGGGATGACAAGATAGGCGAAGGCCTGGACAATGGGAAGCAAAGAGACGCAATGCATTTTTGTTTGATATCTCTTCGAATTTGGAAACACTTCTATAAGGGTAACATCTCTTTCCCTTTCTCTTCCTTGCTTTGTTCTCTTCGCTCACTTCTTCACTCATCATCACCTGCAAGCGAGAGAAAGGAGATTTGGGGGGTGGCTGAGGGAAGAGAGAGGCCTTTTCTTTCAGTATCCATCACATAACCACCCTCCATCTCTTTCTTTTTCCAAAAGACAGGATAATGATGGAGGAGCTGGTCATCGCCTTCTCACACGCCTTCCCACGCCATCTCTTCATTCTTCATGGAAAACTGGCAGGGACTTGACGTGAGAAAAAGAGATGTCACCCCTTCTCCCTCTCTTATCTTAGCTCTAGAGCTGGCGAAGGCATGAGACAAGCTGAAGCTCCATTGCCTGTCCTTTAGGGATAATGATGGACGAACGAAGAGAGAGAAGCCTTGGCTGGCCCAGCACTCATCTCTGTCCCTCACTCTCTATCCTTCCTCTCCTCAGCCTTTGTCCAACACACAGCTACTTGTGGTTGTGGGTAAAGGCGCGGAAAAGATAAAGGAGTAGCATGAAAGGGTGAATTGCCTTCACTCACCCTTTCCACCCGCGAAAAAGAGAAGCTTCTTTCATTTCTCTTCCTACCCCTTTTACGCTAGTGAGAGGCGTGTCCTCCACCTTCCCATCCCTTCCTCACTCTGTCCAACCTCTCTGCGTATTCGCGGCTTGGGGGCGGCATGCCTTTCACGTCCTAGCCCAGGGGCGTGCAGGATGCTTAATGTGTATTGATTTTGAAACTATAGAATTGAACTTTCAATAACTATTCAATGTTTTTTTAGAATTCTACATATCGGGGGTCCGATTTGTAGAATTTTTTGAAGTTTGAGAACTCAATTCCAAAAGTTCTAAAAGTTCTAAAAATACTACAAATCAAGGGTTCTGGCTGGGCCCCTCCTGGGCTGGGACCATCTTAAAAGTTCCAAATTTCGGGGGTCCGATTTTAGATTTTTTAGATCTTGTAGAATTGAAGTTCATAACTTCTAAAAGTTCAAGAAGTTCCAAAATCAAGGGTCCTGGCTGGGCCTCTCCTGGGCTGGGACCATCTAGAACTTTGAAATTCTACGAACTAAGACTTGGTTATCAAAAGGCGAATGGCCTGTTCACATTATACATAAGTTCCCTCGTACTGTGGGGGCAGGGTGGGCCACAAATGAAGGAACTAAGAAACATCTTCAATGAACGAGTGAATGAATGAATGAAATGAAATGAAATGAAATGAAATGAAATGAAATGAAATGAAATGAAATGAAATGAAATGAAATGAAATGAAATGGAATGAATGAATGAATGAATGAATGAATGAATGAAATGAATGAATGAATGAATGAATGAATGAATGAATGAATGAATGAAGGAATGAATGAAATGAATGAAATGAATGAATGAATGAATGAATGAATGAATGAATGAATGAATGAATGAATGAATGAATGAATGAATGAATGAATGAATGAATGAACGGATGGATGGATGGATGAATGAATGAATGAATGAATGAATGAATGTGTGGATGCATGTCTGCATGTGTGTAAACATGTATGACGTGTATGTGTGTAATTGCAGCGCAACGATGCGCTGGAATGTAACGCAACGCAATGTAATGATGTGATGAAAGGTAGTGTAATGCGATGTGATGTGATGTGATGTAGTAATATTTCTGGGCCTGCGGCCTCTAGCCGGCTACGCGTCTTTGAAGTTATGCCATGTCATGTCATGTTGTTTTGTATGAGAAACGTATCCTGTGCTATGATATGGCTTGTCAGAGTTTGCATGTTGCCCACCCCAACCCCAGATGATGCCGGGGATGCCAGCTTTCTGGGCCCCAGCCGGGCCCCAACCCAGAAGGCTGACTCGGGGTCCCGCGCGCGCGCTCCAGAGGCCCCAGAAAGAGCAGCTCAAAAAGAGCAGCCCGCAAAGCCAGCCCGGAAACGAAAATGCAACAAAACATCGTAAAATAGCAGCGATTTGTGGCTGGGGTCGCGCGCGCGCGCCAGAAGGCCCGAACACCAACGGGAAAAAAGCAAGGACCGCGCAGCACGCGAGCCAGCCACAGCAAAAGCAAAACGGACGGAACAACAGCCCACCGCTCAGCACAGCAGTTTGTGACGGTATTTACAGCGTTTTGTAGAGCGAGGACCCAGCATCGCCGGCGTGCCCGGCAGCGCTTCGCGCCAAAATGCGCGAAAATGAGCCTCGCTTATATCCCTCCGACACCGTCTAAAAAACAGTGCCTCATTTGAGAAGCTTTTTGGAAGGAAGTCTTGATGTTGCAGACCAAGCCCCGCTGAAGCATCATGGCCAATGTTTCGAGGTGCCGGATTTGGGCAACGCATCACGACCAAGTGACGAGGGTCGGCGGCACACGGGTGCAGCCCCAGCTGAAGCCAGCAGGCTAATTGCCTATCGGCGACATGCTACCCCAGGAGGCGTCGCCGGATTTACGTTGCTGGCGCACAACCGGCCGCGGCAGCATCGCGAGGCTCAACTTCACAGCTCTTGCAAGGACGGCTAAGCAGGCAGCAGCGACAACAACAACATAAACATACATACATTTCCTTTCTTGCACACATACACACAGCCATTTTCAGGCACGCACCCACGCACGCAACAACACACAGGCACACACACACACACACCAGACTCACGCACAACACACACCCACCCACCCACCCACGCACGCGCTCACACACGCACGCACAGACACACACACACACAGAGACACACAGAGACACACAGAGACACACAGACACACAGACACACACACACAGAGACACACAGAGACACACAGAGACACACAGAGACACACAGAGACACACAGAGACACACAGAGACACACAGAC